AAGTTACTGGAAGCTCTGGTTTGGGTTTACTTCCATTCCACCGTTCCAGAATTCAACAAGGTAGAGTGCTGGGGCCCCCTCAAAGAAGCTGCTGCCCCTTCTGGTGCGGCCACAAGAGAAGGAAAGCAAGCTTTGCAATTAACCAACTGGGAATTGCCTGAGCCATGCGAAGAGGAATGTGGCTGTTGTTTTCCACCAATGAGCCTCATTCCATGGTCACAAAAGGGTTCCCAGTGGTAGAGCAAGGATTTAACATGTTAACTTGTTTATTTTAATTGTGTTAATTTTATTTTTGCCCAAAGTTTTAACTTGTTAATTTTATTTTTTGAATAGATAATAATTAGTTTTTTAAATAATTCTTGTTGATTATTTTTATTCAAATTTAAAAATACTTTTAATTGTTATTATATAAAGGTTGCCTACCCATGATGATCACTAGTACTACTACTAACACAAGTCTCACCAAAAACTCACCTATGCACACAACTTGGTAGACCCAAAAAACCCACACCCACCATTATATAATGTCCTCAAAGTTTCATGCGTAATAGATATATAAATACCAATTTCATTTTTAAAAAAATAAAAATGAGGAGAAAGCAGAGGGAGATTCCAGGGACCAACATTGGTTTGGGAAAGTCCATGGGAACTCAAATGGGTGCTCGGGTGTGTTTAAGGAAACAAAAGTGTGGATAGATGGATGACCCAAAGACATGGCTGCATCTACGCATCTCAAAAAACATATTTTAATTAAAAACTGTTTTTAGTTTTAATTTCTACCCATTTTCCCACACAACCGCACTCCTAATTGCACTCTTACTCAACCATTCCGTCATCCATTTCGTCATCACCACGTTTACACATGCGTCCACGGTGAAGTATGTTGGAGTTAAGCAAGGTCTTTTTGTTCACCACTAGAATATTAGTTGGCATATCCACGAGAGAGAGAAAGAGAGATGAACCATACAATCTTTTTTCAATTTTTGAGTTATAAATATAGCCAATACTTTGTTATCTTTAATCTATTTTTACTAATATGCCAACTCAAAATCTCTTAATTTACTTAAAAGAAAAAAGAAAGATTATAACTGCAAAACTTAAGTTGTTGACATAAACCACACAATTTTTTTATTTGCTAGATAGGTTTAGTTACTTGGACATGGATGAGTATATTTATGTTTACACCAGTACGTATTGTCAATCATCTCCATGGTTCTAGATTAGCTACTTGGTGAAGGAAACAAATTTCTCAGCTTTGATTTTGTGAAGATGGAGTAAGACCGGCAGTAGCAGACGTGTCTGGGGAGGAGACCTCCAAGTCAAACCTTAATTCAACATACATGACCTTATGATGCATACATTTCTTGCTATGGTTGTATTCTATAATAATAATTACTTTGAAAATTAAAACTTGGTTGATTATTTTGACTCGTATTCCTAGGCTTAGGTGGGCATGGTTAATACCTTAGACTTGTTAAAGATGGTTAATACCTTAGACTCATATTCTACGTTCACACCACATGGTCAATGTTTTATGGATAAAGGGGCGCGCAGAGTCAAAAATTGATGTTAGAGGGGGTGTGCAGTGTGCTATTGTTCGGATTTACATATATTAAAAATAAATTTTGTGAGAATCTTGACTTCAATAACATTCAAAGTCATAATAAACCAAAATTACAATTAATATGTTTTAAATAATAAAAGGAAAATATTCTAAAAAAATTATCATATCAATCCTTAGTCAATCTTATAGTGTTACTTTAAACTGGTAAGGTGCTAGTTGATCTGTAGAGTGAGTTGTAATTTAAAAATATTTTTAGTTGTTATTAATTTATAATATAAAATTATTAAATTATTTAATATAAAGTTAATAAAGTAGAAAATTTAAGGAGTTTAAACCGTGATGTGACATTTGTTCTCGTTGTCAACTTTATCATAAATTCAGTTGTACCCGAATTTCATCCGACTTCTACTTGTGCGTTCAACTTCTGCTTCGGTTTGACATGGATGATTTTAATAAATAAAAAAAAAAAGTAAAAAAAATAAAATTTATATTCTTATATTCATGGTTTTCTCATGTTCGGAATAAAATGACGGACCAAACACCAATTGCTTCTAACTGACGATCAGGGGGTTAGTGGCGAAATATATTTGCTGCGGAATCGGATACACTCTATTAAATATATTATATGATATGTTTATTAAAAAATTATTATTATTTAT